TATCCGAATGGGAAATCCGAATTTCTGACTTTCCGAACGCAGATAATTATTTATTTATTCGGAATCATCACGTTGGACTACGGTAGTACTAACTAGGCACATGACTCGAAATTGAACGGAATCCAGGCTTTGCGTGTGGCGCAGGAACTAGTGCGGGATTTAATACAGCTGGATGTAGACGGTTCGTGACCGTCCGATTGAGACTCGGATTCTGTCGGACGGTCACACCCGAACGGCGCTGCGCACTGAGCCTGTGAAGTTGAACCTGATCGACAGTTGAGCTTGGAAGTTCCAAAACCTAGGTTTTGGAACTTACTTCCTGCCCAATGATGATGATGAAGGCGGCGGACGTGATATGACTCGAGCACTGCGTGATGTGAACTCAGAACTGCGCATTCATCTTGCTGATCCCAACTCACGGCGACTCCACTAAATAGATACACTCTTTGAGCCGGGCCTGCTTTAGAATCCTTGCCACGTCCTGGCACTTGCCTAATTTGGAGCTGTCTCCGCTTGATCCTATCCTGGTCCGTATCCTCGTGTTCTGTCTCACTTTGCAGAAGCAAAAATAGTTGGGGTCAAGATGGGCAGTAATTTCAAGGATCGCTTTTCGGATGGCTTTTCCAAGTTGGGCGAGCGATTCAATGAGGGGTTCACTCGATTGGGTGCATCCAGTTCCTCTGGTGATGCGGAGGGCGAGGCCGCTGGCGCCCAGGACAGCAAGAAGGCGGGCACCAGCGGGAAGAAGAGCTTCAGTGACCACCTCACCCTTGCAACAACAAAGATGAAGGACTTGTTCAGGTACTCAAATTGGATTTCTGCAATTATACAAAACCTCGCATATCCGTGAAAGGCAGGTCTTCTCTCAGTTTCTAATTGTACAGGGAAAACAAGCTCGTGGTCTAAATGCTTTGTCTCTGATTCCACGAAAAGTCACGCCAAAAAGCCAGAGCGTTGAGCAGATGCATTTTTGTCAATGAAGCCTTGCTGTCCTCCCCGTGCAGGACCCCAACAGTTGCTGAGAAATTGGTGGAGGTCAGTGCCTGCGGGGCGCACCCTCAGATAGCCTGCCCTCAATGGTGTCCCCCCTGCTGGCCTGCATCCCCCGCTGAGATCCTGATCTGCAACATCTTTGCGCAATCTGGCCCTTGGGGACTGCACCTTACTCATGGCTGATCCAGCTGCAGACATGGAGCCCATCGCAGGCAGATGCGCACCCTGTGGTGGCGCAGCAGGGCCCCTCTGACTGCTCCTCGTGCTTGCCATGGTGCAGGATGCGACGGCCGACAAGCTGGAGGGGCCCGACTGGGCCAAGAGCTTGGCCATCTGTGATCTGGTGAACGCGCAGAAGGCCAGCGGGCAGGAGGTCACCCTGGCGGTCAAGAAGCGGCTGGCGGCGCGCGACTACCGGGCGCAGGTGAGGCGCCAAAAGGAAGAGAGCGGGATGGGGTGCCCTTCTCCTTGGGGAGGTGGCCACCTTTTGAACTACCGTACATTTCAGTTTTCTGCACCAATGGATACATCATTGTCAACCAAACACGCCAAAAACCTCAGTGCTGCAATCACATCCAGCAACCTCAGCTCACGGGTCTGTTTTGACAGATCGTCGAGTAAGATGGGCTTTAAACACTCTTTAGTATTGTGCCCCCCCCGGACCCTCCCCACTCGTATCTGGCGTGCGCAGGGCTTGGCGCTGGTGCTGCTGGAGACGCTGGTGAAGAACTGCGAGGGCCTCTTCTCGGACGTGGCCGCCGCGGGCGTGTTGGACGACCTGGTGGCGCTTGGCCGCGACGGCAGCAACCCCAACAGCACCAAGGCGCTCATCCTGATTGAGGCCTGGGGGGAGGCCACCGACGAGCTGCGCTACCTGCCCATCTTCGCAGAGACCCTCGCGGTGAGCGCTGCCACTGGCCACCCGGGGCGGACAACTCCTGCCCGCTGTCCCGTCTGCCTCTCACTTGGTGGGGCGATGGGGGGAACAAACAGGGTCAAGGGATGTAAGGGGCCGAGTGTGCGGCATGCCGAAGTTGCATTTATCTTTCTGTTAGTCGGGCACCGCGAGCGACCCTCGCTACGTGACTGCGCGACTGCTCTCAGGCAGGCCCGGGAATGGCCCTTCTCTTGCATTCACACACTTACCGGGACCTTGCGCCTGTCTCACCGCCCCCCCTCCCCGGTGCAGAGCTTGCGCGCGGAGGGGGTGCGCTTCCCCGGCCGCGATGCCGAGAGCCTGGCCCCCATCTTCACGCCCGCCCAGTCGGCCCCCATCACAACCCCGCCCGCCCCAGCGCCTGCGGGCGACGGCGCCCCCGCTGAAGCCCCCGCGGACGTGGCAGCGCGGAGCGTGGCGGTGTTTGAGGTGGCCCGCAATGCGCGCGAGCTGCTGGACACGGTGCTGACGTCGTCGCCTGCGGGGGATGCCCTCCAGGATGAGGTGACGCAGGCGCTGGTGGCGCAGGTGCGCGCGAGCCAGCGCGACGTGCAGGCGCTCGTGCAGGCGGCGGGGGACACCAACGAGGCGGTGCTGTTCGAGGCGCTCAACGTGAACGACGACCTCCAGAAGTGCCTCTCCAAGGTCAGTCTAGCAGCCGCAGCCAGAGGCCACCGCGCCAGGGGCGGTATCGGGGAGTCGCACGTCCACGCCTTGGGCCCGGACCGCCATTGCCCTAGACTTGCACTTGCTTCTGGTGGGGCACCGTGGCAGCAGTGTGGAGCCTGAGATGTGTGCCTGTGATTCGAGCAACTCTCTGGAGCAAAGAGGGGCAGTCTCGGGTGAGGGGGCGAGCTCCGTCAGAGTCTTCGCATGAGCCATGGCCCTGCCGATGCTGCTCAGTTCTTCGAATCGGAGGGAGCAAGGCCCGCTGGCCACCTCTGACCTGCCTCCCTCCTGCGTGGCCATTGCAGTACGACGAGCTGGCAGGCCCCGCAGCGCCGCCCTCCGCCTCCCCTGCAGCTGCCCCGCAGGCGGCCGCGGCCCCGGCCAGCGCAGGTGCAGGGGCCCAGGGGACGGGCACCACAGGCAGCGGTGCGGCGGCGGCCCAGGCGGCAGTGTATGCGGACCTGCTGGGCGAGGACGAGGAAGACGACGAGGCAGGGCTGGTGCGCAAGAACGGGCACAAGGCCGCACGGTCGCAGCAGGTGAGGGCGCACAGCGCAGCAGGGGGATAGGGGGGTGTGCCTGGCGCACGCTTGGCGGCACACCCGCTTGGCCGGGTGGCGACCTGGGCTGCAGCCGCCGAGTTATTTCCCCAGCACGTCACTGTGATCGGTGTGCTCCGAGCGCTTTGCAGGTACCTAGGTCTTACCGCTTCCTTCATCTGACCCTCATTGACTCCATATAAATCTTAACTTCAAGTGATGACGTCCTGTCCCCATGCGCAGGCTGGGGATGATCAGGCGTTGGCGGACTTGGATGAGATGATTTTTGGCAAGAAGGAGCCTGGGGCTGCACCTGAAGCCAAGCAAGAAAAGAAGGAGGACCTCATCTCGTTTTAAAGCTTCGTCGTGGTACTTTTTTGACCCCGTTCAATCCAAAGATCAAGGCTGCTACCATGTATGCAAGTTGTACAGCAAATTCACTCAAACAAGAACATGGCACTGATCAGTTACATTGTACTTTATGCGTCCAATGATCTGCAAAGCTAAAGATAGTATATGCTGTGCTTGTCTTCATGACATGAAAGCTGTTGTGCTGTTATTCTCGTCTTGTTGTACCTATGATGTTCTCTTTACAAACCCTGAGTTCCTCGGCCTTGACCTGTTCTGTACAGGCTCGGCTCGAATCAAGTAGAGCACTCATGATAGCCAGCCGCGAAGACGCCAATCAAAGTGGTGCAGGTATAATGGTCTCTTTTCAAATACGGCCCCTCTAGTATTTGCCTACCAATCGCCATGACATGGATTTCTGTATTTACGACCATGCAACGTTATAAAAGATGGTCTCATGCATGTCTCATGGTTATCCCGTGCATGTGGATCAATGGGATGAAAGTCTACATGTCCTCATTCAAAAGCTGAGATTGCAGAGACGCCTCCAGGTGATATTAAGACTAATAAGAGCACGAATCTCAGCACCACAAACATAAACATGCAGACAATCCGCGCATATACCTAAGCTACAGTCCCTTTTTGTACATCTGGGGCATGGGTTTTACAAGTCGCGTCGATTAGGGAATCATCCCCTACGGCCCAGGTGGCTACAGCGTTTGAAAGAGGACATCATTCACAGGGCCAGGGTAATCATGGGGCGCCTAGCTCAACCTACAACTTCACCAGCTCCACTAGTGGGCGAGCTGGCGGGCCATGCTCCGCCGTCATCCTGCGGGCTCATGCATTGCTCCATTGTCGACACCATGCTAACACAGAAGCTTCCGGCCGGCTCAAACATCAATTGGGACGTCAGCATAACAAGCACACTCACAAATGCAGAATCTTGCACTTCTGAGTACGGATCCTTCCGTACTGCTCAAGTATGAAACTTCAACGCCGTCATCCATTGACTTAACGATATCATAACCATGAACATTGACAAGCAGAAAAATAGCTCGAAATCGCTCGAAATCGCCTGGGAGGTGCCTCAGCACCAAAGAATGGCAAATGAAGTCAACAGGCAGCCCCCCGATGAAGTCACACCACAATGTACATAATGTTTGGTCCTTCTAAGCAGAGGCCCCCTTGCTCTTCTTCTTCTGCAGCTTCCTTGAGTAAAACTCCAACTCCCTCCCTTCAAGGATGTACCTGCACACCAGGCAACAGAAAACAGGTGAGGCCCCAACCCCTGCTGACTGACGCAACAGAGATCTTGACCCATTCCCGCTATTTTGCAGGGAAGCTCTGGGTGCACACAAGTGCACCCAAAAGCTTGTGGGTCCCTGATCTAGTAGCGCACGCCCCCCGCCAGCAGCCTCGCCTATCTGTGCCCCGCCCACTCACCCATCGCAGCGGCCGCACTGGCCGGGTCGTGACGAGATGGCGGCCAGCAGGCGCCCCCCCGCAAACTGCTCGTCCAGGTTGGGGTCCAGCTTCTGGCCCTCCGCGCGCTTGGCCAGCTTGCGCTCCACGTGCGCGCTCTTCTTCTCCGCGACCTCCTCCTCCTGCGCCCACCCACGCAGCCCAGAGTCAGCAAGGCGAAGCTCTCCCTGTCAGCAATCCGCCTTGATGCTCTGCTACATGATAAAAACTGAGCGGGCAGGCCGCCCCCCTTTTCTGGCTAGGTGATGATGAGGTTTGGCAGAAGCCCTCCCTTCATCCTCCTGCTACAGGGTCAATATTTGCTGTCTACCATGCATTTTTCGCAGCCCTCCAAGAGAAATCCCTTGTTGAACACCTCTGTATCCAGTTAAGAGAATAAGCAGGAGTGGCCTCTACTGATGTGTGCATTGCAGCGAACAGCAAATTGGTCAACACAACGTCTAGGCTCCATGACTGTGGGCAAGCAGGCCAGCGGCTGTCATACTTGGTGCTTTGACAGCAGCAGGAGGGTACCAAGTGAAACCACAAAGACATCACTCGAAAAGCCCCCCTTCCCTGCCCCTGCTCCTTGCAAATCAAGCTGTGGCTTACTGCAGAGCGCTTCGCAAGCCCGTCCTCACCTCGCCCTCCTTCTTAACCGTCTTGCCCTTCTTCTTGCCAATCTCCGCGCCGTAGTGCTGTGCGTACCACTGCCGGAAGGGCGTGGCGTCCACCTGCACGATGGCGTTCTTGACCAACGTCTGCGTGCGCACCAGCTCGTTGTTGCTCGCGTTGTACACCACGTCCAGGACACGCGTCTTGCGTGCCACCGCCTCGCTGCCCCAGCTGAAGTTGCCCGTGTCCAACCGAAGAGCGCGGAACTTGAGGTGCCCCCCCCGCACACGGACCGGCCGCACTGTCTTGTGGCTCGACAGCTTGGTCATGGCCGGCTGCCGGCCCAGCTCATACCTGCGCGCACGCCCCGCAGGATCACACACAGCGGCAGGCGCACATACAAGGGGCAAAGCAACCGGTGTGATCTAGCAGCAGCCTGGGGATGCTGACCTCTTGACTGCGGGGACAGTGAAACACAAACGGTAATGGTTGGCTCCCCGGAACAGGCACAGGCCCACAGGCGAAGAGGGTCCAACCATCCTTTAAGCAGCCAACCATTATCACGAATGCTGATTCCTGCGCGGGCAGCACGTCCTGGCCTCCTCTGCCAAAGCGGTGAGCCACCGGACACGACCCCCTTCCAGACACCCGCAAAAGGGCGCCCATCCACACTCAACCTTTCAAACTTCAGGTAATGGTTTGCCCGCCCCAAACAAGATGCACAGACAGACCGAGGCCTGCCCCTCAATGATTTTGCAATCGTGTCTCAGCAAGCGCAACTGGGGCGCACTCACTTTCTCTTCTTGCGCCATGACTTCTTCTTGCCTCCCGTCAGACGGCGCTTATGCGTGGAATCACGAGAAATACCTGCAAGAAAAAACAAGGAGACAATCAGGAAAATGTGGCTGACCTTACCAGGGGCCAGAAGCACCCCCAACGGTTGCCACTCTCCCTAGCAACATGACCAAGCGGATTGTCCAGGAACAATTTGGGAAGGGCTGCTAACGCAGCCAGGCATATGCAACACCTGTTCTTTGAACCCTCAACAACGCCATGGATGAGCCACCATGAACCAGACCGTACCCATGCTGGCGCCCTGCTACGAAGACCCAGAGTGTAGAGCCCCGGAAAGAGGCCCAGTCCGCCGACTTGCGTAGGCTTTGAGTCTGACCTTTCCGATAACCAGAGTCGGAGCAACTAGGGGGGCGGCACCAGTGAGACAAGAGGAGCAAAGCAGCCGAACTTTTCCGACTTGGAAATCCGAACAAGCGGTAAACCGATCTGCTCCCCGGTGCGGGGAACAGTGGCTTGCCTTTGTGTGGTTATACCTTTGTAGATTATGGGTTCTAGGGCGCTAACCCGAGGTCATGCGCGCAGATGACGGCCTATAAACAAACCCAAAACTTAACCGCTTCCGAAAGCTCGACGAAGAACGTCGCGTTATACCGTAGCTGGTCCAGACTCCTACCGACCGACGTTCCTTACGTGCCGGGAAACGCGGAGCCTATCCGACAAATGCGGAGCCCGGAGAGTTGCACCTCCTCTAAAAGTCTACCAATAAAATCAGTGCCAAAATTAGAACCAAACAATCAAGGCCACAGAATTGGCACAGAGGTTTTGTATCGAAAATTCACCAGCTTAGTCAATTCGTTATATGAAATCGGCCACTCTCGCGGCGGTTACCCCCGTCACGGCCCGCGTACAAACGCAAGGGGTTGCCGGGTGCAGCATATCGTGATGCCAATCAATTTTTTATCAGAAGTTACAGGAGCTATAATGTATCATTATAGGTGGTTTTGCAATACTAAAGTTCTGATGAATTTGTGAATCTGTAATCTTTGCGGGTTTGCTTGCAACATTTGCGAGGGTTGCGGGTAAGAAACTGAACTAGCTGGTTGAATAATTGCGTCAGTGTATAAGTTCCCACCGGACGGGCCACCGGACTGGTTATGGAAATTTGTCCCACGATACGAAAATTTGGCACTTAAATGGCACCTGGAATATCAACGGCTTGCACTCTGCGTAAACGGTATAACGTACCTGAGTATCCGGCCAAGACAACGGGCCGGGCCGGGCAGCTTATTGGCCGCTTGCCCGGGCCCACCGGCCGCCTCCTCTCCCCCGGTGATAGGATTGTTGAGTTAGAGATTTTGCGATCGAAAAACAGCCCGAGACCCCGGCATCAGCCGGAGGTCCGGCTGACCTCAGCCTGTAAGAAATCTTTGATCGGGTTGCCCACAGCCCGATGCCCCTCAGATCGGGTACTTTACAACCCGACTCGACATTTGCCCGAGCCCCCGACCGAAATCGGGGCCCCCGGCAGCCGCAAAATTTGGGCAATGTAACCACTTACATTGTACTGTAGGCCAAAGGTAGGCCATTTGCCTGAGCCTCATCGGGCTCGGGCCGTCCCGGTTGGAGACTTTTCTCGAGTTCTCGCTCAAGTGTAACAACCCTATGAGGCTCTCCGAGTCACCCACGGTCTTGACACAAAGTAAACGAAAACCATACCCACGCGACAGGGGTACCCCCTGGTACCCTGGAATAGACCGGAATTACAATCGACGGTCTGCGACAGCTTAACACACGTGCGAAACCCCATTGTACGCCCCGCGACAGTCGGCCGACCGACTAGACGTGCAGAATACGACAAACGAGTCAGAATATGCTGTACGAACTTTCTGGTGCCAAACGGCGAGCCGATATTTGAGGGCGAGGAGCAAAACTGCGAAACCGTACATCAGTTTTACAATGCCCGAGTGAAATTCCTGGAAATGCGATCGCGCCGCCATCTTCTCGCGCCCAGAACAACGACATCTTTAAAGGTACTGCGGCGGCCAATTGAACCGCCGGAGAAAACACAGAGCGGAGTCGGCACTAATTTCCAACGTCGTACTGTGGCTTTGCACGGTTCCATGACGAAGGCTTTCGCCATTTTCAATAACGCGTACGCTCGCGCGCATTTGGGGCGCACACTGGACAGCAAGAAAATGGCATGCCAACTAGAAAGGCAGCACACTGTACTGCGCTCGGCATGCCATCTGCATGATTGAGTTGGCTGAGCAATTTTCAGCCGTAGATGTAGCAGAAAATATCAGCAACGGTCCGCACTCGAATTTCAAGATTGAGGCTTGTTGACACCAAATTCAGCAATGATTGTGTACTCCGCGACCGCCGCCGGCGGTGAGTGTAACTCCAGTACGAGGCCGGCGGACCAACCGACGGCAATTTTCAGTACGCTAAAAAAATTTCGGTGTGTTGGGGGGGCTTGCCCCCCAACACGCTGCCGCTTGCGGCGGCGTACAGAGCTAAAATTTCATCGGGGCCGAAGGCCCCGACCACACGAATGGCGGTACAGGTCCCCCATCTGCACGCACTGATGGTACCGGGAATACAGGTAATCTTACCGGTACCCAGGGCCAGCTGGTCCCCGAGCACCGTCACTCATGCCCTGATAAATCGAATTCCTCTGTAGAGCGTTCGTTCTCAATCTAGGCTATGGGAATCTGCATGCCTATGTAACACTCGAACAACCTGTACCCGTCGATAAAAAGTTCCGTGCTGACATCGGACGGCTCAAAATGATCCATTGCTTCAACAGATCCGGCCGGCGCCGCATGCTAAGCCTCGATGGATGTTTGACTTACTGAGCAGATGCTACCAACCCAATAAAGCCTGCATTCCGCCTAACTAAGGAGATCTGCACACATGCCCTTGGAGGCACAACGGTGAGCTGATCATGAAGCCAATTGATTAGTTCTAGCGTACTTTCGATCGTACTTCAATATTGCTGAAATAACAACGGCTTGCAAATCTGACGGAGCAAGCAACCGTATATATTGTCATATAGTATTGCAAATTCTGTTGAACTCAAATTATCTGCACGCAGATTGGCCATGCGTCTTCAAGCTTAGGCACAAAACATTCGACACAATTGCAAACTCGATTTTATGGAAGCGCAATCAAGCTCGCATGCTGTGAGCGCCACAATTCGTCATCCATACAGTAGCAGTGATCGCAGAAGACTTAGTGAGAATATGAGTCTAATAACAATGATCATGAAGATGGCAGCGCTCGCGCTTGACGTCGCACCAATGAGCAACATGGGAAAGCCCATCTACAAACTTTGACCAAGAAAGCGTATGCCATTGATCAATTGATAGATGATTGAATCGCTTTCGAACTCTACAAGATCACAATGTTGGAGTATTTTAAAATGGCAATCTACCTAAGTGGATCACTCTTGCACCAACATTCTCAATCAAGCTTTTCCTTTGAGAGGACACTTATGTCCGGTCATAAAAACGTCTCGACCTTCTGCATTTGTACACCTCCTACATCGTTTTGCGGTGCCTAAACCACCTCTGTTTGGAGGACCCAACTCTGCAGACCGTTTGGATCCGACAGGAGGTCCCACCTGATAAATCATGTCCGGCATCGGTGCCAATCCAAAATGACCGCCGGATGAATAGCTTACATCGTGCTCTCCAGCTGCGTGCTGAAACGGATTGACACTTTTAAATTGGCCAGAGAAGGCATGGCTGCCTTCGGGATCTGAAATGCCAATCAGGGATGGAAAGGTTGTGAGGGGCGGTGATGGATGGGTGACTACTTGCCGTTGTAAAAGTTGCGCAACGCCGGACAACTCAGAATTCTGTTGATTCAGCACTTGGTACGCCTCTTTTTCGAACGCCGCTAGCTGTCCCATCCGTTTTGGATGCACGTTAGCTGCAAGGTGTGCGGTGAGTGGATCGAGGCGAAGCTGAAGAACTCTATGATTCCACTCGTTTAACATGGCTGCCCAGTTCGTGGAAGCCCCGCGCCTGTGCTTCTCTTGCAACTCAACGAACCACTCAATTTCCGTGTTCGTGAGGAGTGGAGTGGCCAAATCAGCAAGCTTCTTTGTGCGCAGCCCTCTAGGCCTCCGTTTCTCACCTTCCCGAAGCAGCTGGCGTGTCCTAAACGCAGAGATGTTCGTACTCTCTGCAAAGACGAAGGCTTGAATGAGTCCACCACGAGATTATGAACCTGCGATCAATCTACGATTCCCTTCGGCGCAGAAGCAAGTTCAATTGACTGGCTCTTAAGGCGTGAACGAGTCTAGGCTGCCACTCACAGCGGACTGAGTTTAAAAGAGAAACTGTGGACGTCGATTGCCGGATACATGAGAGAGTGAAGAGCTACTTACACCATGCAAATTTGTGAATTCTTATACTTACCTGCGGACACGCCAAACCGCTCGAATCTCTCGCCCCCCAGGCTGCCTGAGGTGTTGCGCAATTGTGCGCCTGGCCCTGCCAGAGAAACCCAACAGGAACATTTCAACCTCATTCTCAGCCATAAGAGTTCACCAAGTCAGAGCTTGCTCGCTCGAGACTCAACAAAAGCTTCTCTATTTTGAAACAACATTTGCAGCAATCAGATCGTAGACAATTCAGAAGCTGTGTTCAGACCGCAAGAAACTTTTCGTTAAACTGCATGTGGGAACGAATCAGTACCGCTCATCGTACCTGGAGGCATGCTCGGGGCAGCACCTTGGCGTGCTGTAAAAGCAACACGTTGATGGACCAATCCGGAGTCCCCCCATGCAGGAGAAGGTGCGCCGGGGAGTACAGGGTGCGCCCAAGCAGCGCAAGGAGAGGCCAGACCAGCCCTCCCAAACGCGACCGATCGCGCGCGAAGGACAGCGCGTGACTGCGCAGTTACAGCAGAGCAAGGGGGCGCAGGACCACCCCCCCCTTGGGAAATTGGCCCAACGTTCCGCGGGAGGGCCCCGACTAGCGCCCGGGGAGAACAGAGCTAGCTCCCCC